TTGGAATTATAAATATGAGCGTAGTTCGTCTGTTAATATCACATGGACGTTTTTTTAAATTTTTTTTAATTAAATTTTTTTTTTAGTTTGTTACTCAGACGCAGGCAGTGAACTGCATGAGACAAAAAAGTAATCTAGCCAAAACAACCGCATAGCCGCTCTTTAGTTTAGATGCATGCTGATTTTATCAGACGATGCCGTGATTATAATTGAGGGTTAACATGTATTAAAAGGGGTCGTGTTTAGTCACTATTTAGTGTGGTATTTTTTGACAATATTCACTCATCATGACAGTAAAATAGGGCATTCTGAGTCAATATACTGCAGTATTTCCTCTCAATCAGTAGAAAATATGGTTAACACCCGCTCATGCATGAAAAAAAAAAATACCTTCATGTACCGTGAAACCGGTATCATTTTGAAAAATACCGTGATATAAATTTTTGGTCATACCGCCCAGCACTATGCATACTTTGTTTTCTAATCAAACATTGTAATGTTGTGATTCATCTCTGAGCTGGTTGGTTCATGGTTAAAGGCTTACAACTAGTTATTGAGGAATCTGTTGAAATGCCTACATAGAATGAACAAGGAAACATACTTTGTTTCAGTTATTCTCCCATGGGCTTTTAATTGTTTGTTGCATGTGTTGTGAGTACCATATACGTCTCGTGAGGTGTTTCTCATAAAATTGGAGAATTTATTATGCATGTCTGGTATGCAGACTTTACTTGCTCTAGTAATTGTGAGTCCTCGTGTTTTTGTTGTGATGGATACATTACACTCTTTAAAAAAAAGGCTTCGAAAGGAGTTTTTCGCAGCAACATCATAGAAGAACCATTTTTGGGTTCCCTAAATAACATTTTAACCATTTTTTTCTTTGTGTAAAGAACATTGTAATAACCTAAAGAACCTTTTTTCCACTATAAAGAACCTTTTGTGCAGTGGAAAGTTTCCACTAGGGGTGGGCGCTATACCGGTATGAAAGTGACTTTATGGAAGTGACATAATACCAGTGCATTATGTTGTTCCGCGGAGCTATCAAAATAGGGGCGAGACACTTTTGGGGTAGGCGCGTGTTTGTTTTGGTGATTTCAAATGTCAACATTGGCTACCAGAAATCGCTTACCCCACCTTTAAGTGTTTAGCAAATGATCAACATTGTCCATTTTACTGCTTAATGATAAAATCAGTTGTTTGGTGATTGTCAGCCAAAACAAAGGTCCCCCCAAAATGCAATATGATTTTCCTGCCTTTTAAGATACTTTGTTTTGGAAAATGCATTGTGAGCTCAGCCAGTGGGGGGAAAAAATCAGAAATGATGGACAAGAGAAATGTTAGTTATATTATCTTAATGTTAAAAAAACCAAATGTTAATGTAATTAACATGCACTACTTTATCTAATTGGCTAATTATGTGTGCTTGTTGTATGTACTTATGTGAAAAAACGAGCTAAATGAAAATTAAAAACATTGTCTTGGCAACTAAATTGAAACACTAAATTTACTAACTAAAAATATGAAAATATAAAAATAAACACAAATTCAATATATTAATATAAACTACAGTAGTATAGCCTGGTATAAATAATACTAAAATAACACTGGTCTGTAGAGATGTGCAGAAGTACATGTTGAGTTGTACATGTTGAGAACTAGGTTGTGTTAAGGAAGCCCTGTATGGTCTTCTGGTTTAGGTTTGTTTACCAGAAATGATCGATTGTGTTTCTTGATCATATGGATGCTGAATGCAACCCTTTAATTTTTATTTTGCGCAAAAAAACAAGAACAAAGAAGAGCTTTTGCATTGTGACATTTATTTTCATGAGAATTAAGCACATTCCCTTCAATTCTTGTTTCTGTTATGTGAATAAAATAGATTATTTAAATTTTGGAGCATTTATGAATAATAGTAGCATATGATTTATTACTTTAAAAACAAATCATTATAATATTATTATTTTTTAAGGTACTGTATTATAGTAATTACAATATAGTAAAAATAATTAGTAAAACCCCACAATTAAAACATCCTAACACATTACAATAATGTAAATTTGGGGGAAAATGTGCTTAATTGTCATGAAAATTATGTAGATGATAGTAAAATAATCTTATTGTTTTTGATGAAATGTGACACTGAAATAACTACAACCTGAATTGGCACAAATCTTTAATAGTCCTGATAATTCACCACATTTCTTTCGATCGTTATTTCTGTAATGCAAATAAAATGTATTGTTTAAATTTTGAAGCATTTATAAATAATACAAGCATTTGATGTACTACCTTTTTGCCGATTTAAATAAAAATCATTGTATTTGTAGTAGTAGTATTTTTTTTAATACTGTATTATAGTGATGAGAATCTCACCTTTGGGGGAAAACCTCACAATTAAAACATCCAAACACATTTCAATTATGACAATTTGGGGGAAATTTGCTTAATTGTCATGAAAATGTCAAAAAAGAAAAAAAAAAGTATGATCCTAAAATAATCTTTTTGTTTTTGGGATGAAATCCACTATTATAACTACAACCTGAATTTGCACAAAACTATCTTCACTATAATCTTCAGAAACAAACAGATGCGCATGTTATGTATGATGAGCATGAAATGTACTTTCATCCCCCTCAAAACACCTCCAGAACAATTTAAGCCGAATAAAAATCTAGAGAAACTAGTCAGCCTCACTGATTGGATTGACTAGTCGAGCATCCTGACCCCTCCCTGCAGACGTCTGCCTCATCCTTTCCCCTTGCTTCTTTCCTCAGCGGTCATGTGGGCTTTGCTGACTCAAGTTCCTCTGTGTGTTTGGCTCTGCTGATCTGTCCTCAGGTTCATTGTGCTTCTAAAACTGGACACAGTCGAGTCTTTCTTCACACTATTGCAGCACATTTGCATAATGCCAGCGTGCAGTTCGCTCTCGGGGTGATGGAACGCTGTATGCGTGGAACCGTTTTGCACTTCCTATAAAC